AATCAACTACCAAGCTTGCAAACTCTGTGTTTTGTCTGTCTGTTTGTTAGCTTGTTTGTTTGTTTTTGTTAAAATGTACACAAATGTCTGGTTGCTGATGACACAATAAATAATAATAATAATAATTATTATTATTATTATTATTACACTTTCAAACCAGAAACAGAACATTTTTCAAACTTTGTTACATACGGTAATTAGCCAAATGCTTCTGAAGCTGTCCTGTCTCTGCAACAGGAATACCTGAAGCTCTGCTCATCTGCTGCTTGGTTGGCCCTTCTTCCGCTTTGGCCTTGAGGGACTTCTTCTCAGGCTTTGCCACCAAACCTTTTACGCTGCCTGTTGTTCTCTTTGGCGGCGGAGTCTCAGAAATGGGTACCTTTGGTTCGTCTTTGGCTAAGACAGTGGCGGCTGCAGAAGATGCTGGCGATGGAGTTTGCTTTAGCCTCTCCTGACGCTGCTGCTCCATCTGGTATTTGAGTAAAGAGGAGGTCCTCCTCAGCCTCACCCCAAACGGGCTCTCCTGGCCGTGCGGTTCCTTGTTGGGCTGCTCGGTTATGGAATTGGTGCTGCTTTTACTCCTCTCAAGTCTTTCTGGGCTGTGGAATAAACACCCTGGCAAAGCGGAGTCCGGTTGAGGTGTTCCTTCGAACAGTTCTGGTTTGATGGGAGGAGAAGATGGAGAGCTTGTAAGGCAAGCGCTGTCCGTCGAGCTCGATCCTCCCGAGAGCGATCGCTGCCAAGCTGGAGCAATGGTGAACCTCACCGGCTTGGCAGAAACGCATTTCGCTTGCGACTCGACATCCTCATCAGGATTTTTACTTTCTTCTCCAGTTTTCACGTTTTCTGACGACTCACCAGAGTCATTATCAAGAGGGATGCTTTTGGAAGGTATCTCAGCAGCTTCCAGAGGAAAGGAAGGACAATTCAATGATCGCCGAATCATGTTTTCTTCTTGCCTTCCTGGGCTGTTTCTCAAGGGAGAGGTACATGGATCGGAGGAGGGAAAAGGGCTTTCACGTGCGGCTTTCTGGAGCTGAGGTTCTTCTATTTTGGCAACGAAGGCGGACACCTCTTCTTGTTGCGTGTGGCTTCCAAACAGTTCCGTCTCCACATCTGCAGATTCTTCCTCTCCTTCTTTGACTGTTGGAACATCTTCAAAAGTTGAGATCTCCTCTGCCTCTGACAAAGTCTCTGAAACCGGTGAAGGAACAAACTCCGCAGAATCGGGCGCAGGGCTCCAAGAACCATTCCAAGTCCTATCTCCTGCTTTCTCACCATATTTCACATCACTAACAGTTCTAGAATCTACCGAGTCTTGGTCTACTGACTGTGGGCAAGAAGAATGAATATATTCAGTTGGTAGATCATGGTCCTTTCCTGGAACATCTCCAGGCATTGCTGAAAATGGCAAATCACCAGGTCCAGCAGCTTCTGCCTCTGGAGGTAAAGACTTGGCACATTCAGTGACCTCTTTTGCAAGATGATGTTTGAGACCATCCGTTCTTTTCGCCTCTTCCTCCTCCATATCCTCCTTTTCTTCACATTTTGGTAGCTCTTTGTTCCGGCCATCCATCTGCACAGCGACCTCCTTTTCCATCTCCAAACAGAGGTGCCAATCCCCATCTGTGCCGGGTCCAGCATTCCAGGAATAGCGCAAAGCGTCAGCCACCCTTGTCGCAGGCAATATGTTCTTAGTCCAACTTGGGATCTTTGCATTCTGGGCTGGTAGGCCTGTGCAAGAAAAGAGGGGGAGAATTTATGGCTTGCAAAGCTCACCAACTCCTATCAGTGTTCCCCACGCTCTCCTGGGCATGCACACAAAGGCTTCTACACACAGAGATACACCGTCAGTTTACCTTTCCGATCCTTTCCATGGCTCTCAGCACCTTCGGGTGATTCTGGTGGGCTCGATTTCCCTTCGGCACTTCCAAAAGAGCATTCCTCCTTCTCTAGCTGTTCCATCTAATGTCAGAGATAAGAGTCAGAACTGCTCAAGGAATCAGAGAATCAGAGAACAGCAGAACCAGAGAATAATAAGAATTGGATTTTCAACCAATGTCAGTGCAGACATGACAGAGTGAAGCAGGTGATGGACATGGCCATTCTCCTTTGCCACAGGACCGTATTTATTTATTTACAGTATTTCTATACCGCTTTTCTCACCCCTGGGGGGACTCAAAGCGTTTTACACATAACTGACAAAACTTCAGTGCCATACATTGGACACTGACACGATGCCAATCCATAACAACCACAATAATAAAACCACAATTAAACATAAATCATAGTTAGACAGTACATAAGCAATCATTAAAACAATAAATAATAAAAGCAGTCAAGCCAGTCGTATTGTCATTCTAGTCCATGTCCTTTAAATTCTACAAACATCTACTGTCCGAAGGCCTGGTCCCAAAGCCATGATTTTAATTTCTTTCGAAAAGCCAGGAGGGAGGGAGCAAATCTTACCTCATTTGGGAGTGTGTTCCATAGGCGAGGGGCCACCGCCGAGAAGGCCCTGTCTCTCGTCCCCGCCAGACGCATTTGTGCAATTGACGGGAGCGAGAACAGGGTCTCCCCGGATGATCTTAGATTACGAGATGGGATGTAGGGGTGGATGCGTTCGGACAAGTAGACTGGGCCAGAACCATATAGAGGCCACAGTAATCCACGCTCTGGTTACATCCCGTTTAGACTACTGCAACGCTCTCTACGTGGGGTTGCCTTTGAAGACG